ACTGAGGGACAATGCCCCCCTAACCTAAGTGGGCCTACCAGCGAAGCAACTGGTACTTGATCGGGCGGGGGGCGGTTTGGTTTCGTGCAACGCCCTCGCAGCAGGAAGAGGCAGTTGTCATTTGAAAGGAAAGGCCCATAGGTTTCCAAAACTGCACACCCTGATAAAAAAGCCCTTTCTTTCTATGTTATTAGTCAAGCCGCCCTTATTGAAAACTAAACTAAAGCGCTAACGCGCCTTTACTAATATTCTTATTCTAATATAAGGCCCTTCTTTCTCAAAGTCAAGTTTCGCGCTTCTTACTTTAGAAAGATTGCAAGGGCGCGTCGGAACGCTCGGTGGCTGCTTACTCTCATCCGAGAGTCTAATCTCTTTGTATTGTACTGCTTTTTTTCTTTGAAAAAAAAAGAAAGAAGGGGGTCGATTTAGGCTCCTTCCACTGCATAGCCGCGCTAGCAGGTACTATAAGCCCTCTGTCCCACGCATCTAACCAGCTCGCGTGGTTCACCGGTTCCACCGAAAACTCTCATTTGTTGAAGCGGAGCATAGTGCGCTTTAGGCGCCGAGCGAGAAACGTCTCTTCTTTCGTTTCGGTTTATTCACTGATCTGAAACTTAGCACTTGTTTTCTTATTAATTCGAGGGGCGGCGGCGTTCTTGAATGAAGTCTATCCGAACCGAATTAGCATTTATCAGAGCAGGCTAGGCCTCTCCAGCGGAGCTGGGCGCCGGGGCCCTGAATGTGCTAGCGATCGGCACATAGGGGGTGGTTGCCCGGGTTTCTCGGCCTGGTATCCTGCACCTCGCGTTTATGATATATACATTCAACTCTGCCCCGGAGACACGGTCGAAGCACGCCCGCCCAGCGTGCTTCTTTCACGACATGCTCTGGTCCCGGGTGTTTTCCAGTGGTCTTCTAGCCTTAGAAGAAGTCGTGTCCGGGACGGACATCTGCAACGTCCTCCCACGCTTTATTTTAAATAGAGGACAAACTGAAGGAAAAGACTGACCCATTCGGTGACTTTGGCGGTCGCCCTCACTGAACCGACTTGAATCTGAACTACGATTAAGATAGAGTCTGACCGAAATCGGATTTCCTTTGCGTGCCATATGCCCTTGCAGTCTTTTTTTTATAAGATGGCTAGATTATCCATGCTAAAGGGAAAGATGCATTCCTCCTGACTGCCCCGCTAAGGCTAACGAATAGACCTTAGATAGTTCTCGAGGGTTCACTAGTAAGAAACTTCCCATGAGCCAGTAGAGAAGAGTAAGAAAGTAATAGTGAAAGAACCCGGCATTCTCCGATCGGCGTAATCTCGTAATACATACATGGCTATGAGACTAGTGCAATCAGTTCCTTCCCTCCCTCACAACCTAGTCTGCTCGTGGTCATGGAAAGCCCCTTTTTTGGCATAACTGCCTCTAGCAGCTCCTTCTCTTCCGAGACGGGTTTCGAATTGGGGCATGGTCTGTTAATCCAGGGTTAGACTAGCTAGGCGAAATAGCAAAGTGAGGGGGTGGATATCCATAGAGAGCTTGGAAAGGTGAGATTTGAATGGTGGTATGGTAGGTAGAATTGTAGCACCATTCTGCAAGTGGAAGCCAAAAGCACCACTGCTTGGGCTTCTTAGAGGTTATAGACCTGAGATAGGTCTCAAAACACCTACTGAGCCTCTCTCTTTGACCTTCCGGGGATGGTAGGCTGTACTGAGATCAAAATGGGTGCCCACCATTCTGAAGAGCCCCTTTCATACTGGTAAAGACCTTGTCTGTGTCAGAAAGAATGCTGGCAGGGAGTCCATGGAGTTTGTAAACATTGTCTAGGAAGACTTGGGCAAGATGGACTGCAGTATAGGGATGACACAGGGCCATGAAGTGTGCATACTTTTTAAAACCTGTCCACCACTACAGGTGTCTTTACCCTCTTTAGTAGGCAAACCCTCTATAAAATCCATGGAGATATGACGAAATGAGTGAGTTGGCAGAGGTACTGGCTTTAGGAGGCCAGGATAGGGGGCATTTTCACTTTTACTTCTCTGACACACATCACACTCCATGACTACTTTCTGCAGATTTCATGCCAGGCCAATAAAACAATGTTGGAAGTAAAGAGCAATGCCTTTGACTTAGTCTACCTCCTCACCCCTATTCCCTTTATCGGTCTAAGCCAAAAAGAAGAAAGCTTTCGATTCAATCCGTCCTAGCTCTTGTCTAAGGATTCGAAGCTGGCGAAGTAGTAGAAGTCGTCTCAGGCTTGTGGTAACTCTCTTCATTTGGTGGTGCTCCGCCGGGCAGTCCCCTGAGTTCGGCCGATGCTTGCTTTGTCTTTCTAGGTTCAGCCTTAGATTCAATCCCGCAGAAAGATCTTTATCCTTAGCTTAGCCCTTTACGAAGATATAGCTTGCTTGAGCCTAAGAAAGGGAGCTGCTAGTTCTAGGGCCCTAGCGCGAAAGCCAGCCCTTGCGAGGTAGGCTAAGCTAGAGAAGTAGGGAAGTCCTTTCTTCACGCGCATGCCTTTGAGTGCTTACCTCGACCCCTAAAGAGAGAGACCCGAAAGTCAGCTTTTCACATTTAGAAAGGACATTCCGGACGAATCAATCATTAGCAGAAGGAAAGAGCGGAAAGGCCTTTTTCGATAGAAGATGAGACGAAAGAAAGGATTGAGACAAAAGAATAATGACGAGGCCAACTGGGATTCAAAAAGTTACCTTCCTTGAACCGCTTGCCAGCCTATCCCTATATAGAGTCCTTATATTTAGATAAGAATCCAAGGTAAGCGTAAGCCTCCACCTAGCTAGAGGCATGAAAGAACCCG